CCTTAATCCTGCAGAACATGGGAGCTATGTCCCCCGGGGGGGCACAGGAGAGTGTGTGTCCCCCCCCCTCCCATTACAAACCGAAAATTCCTCATTTTGGGGGTTACACTGATTTTTTTTTTTCCCCTGCAAACACTTTGTTCCAGCAGGAGGGAGACCATGGGGACCCCCCCCCGTTTAATTCTTGATTTTTTTTTTTTTTTTTTGGGGAGGGGGGAAGCCTTCGGGAATAAGTTAGCGGTTTGTTTCACTCGTTTGGAATTGCGAAGGACCGTTGAAAAAATAATTTGGGAGGAAAAGGCTGCGGGGAAGCGGGGCGGGGGGAACACAGGCAGGGGGGGGCAGGCAGGGGGCCGGGAGAGGCCCCAGCCCTGGGGGGGGACACAGTCCTGTCCCAGCATCTTTTGGGAGCAGTCAAGGCAGGGGGAACAAAAAATCAACTTTCCGGGCAAGTTGGAAAAAAAAAAAAAGGGAGGAAAATGGGATTTTTATTGAGCTTTTTTCTTTTTTCCCCCATTTTTCCAAGGGCCGGCAGGGAGCGGGGCAGCAGAGAGTGGGAGGTTTTTTTCCTTTTTCTCCATTTTTTCCTCCTGTTTCTCCTTCCCTCTACCTCTTTTTTTCCCCCCTTTTCTTTCTCCTTTCCCTCCTCTCCTTTTTCTCCCTCCTCTTTCTCCCTTTTCTCCTTGTTTTTCTCTTTTCCCTCTCCTTTTTCAACTTTTTTCTCTCCTTTTTCCTCTTTTCTCCTTCCCCCTTTTCTCCTTTTTTCTTCCTTTCCTCCCTTTTCTCCTTTTTTTCTCCCTTTTCTCCTTTTCTTCTCCCTTTTCTCCTTTCTTCTCCCTTTTTTCCCCCCCATTTCTCCTTTTTTCCTCCTTTTTCTCCTTTCCCCCCCTCCCTTTTCTCCTATTTTTTCCCTCTTTTTTTGCGTTTTAAATACAAATATATAATTAATTTTACAAATGCTATTTACAGGTTTAATTACAAAAAAAAAATTCCAAGAGAAAGAGAGACACCCCTTAGACGTTAATAAATCTAAAAAATAAAAAATAT